TATTATTATAATCATAATCATAATCATAATTATAATCACAATAATTATAGCAACAACAATAGTGTCATAGAATCTATTGTCTAACTACTATTATAAAGCCTATTGTCCAACTACTGTTAGAGAACCTATTGTATATCTATTTTATAGAACGAATTTCATAACTGCTTGATAGAACCTATAGTCTAACTACTTTATAGAGCCTATTTCTAACTACTTTATAGAACCTATAGTCTAACTACTTTATAGAACCCATTGTCTAACTACTGTTAGAGAACATATCGTCTAACTGCTGGTATAGAACATATTGTCTAACTGCTGGTATAGAACATATCGTCTAACTGCTGGTATAGAACCTATTGTCTAACTACTTTATAGAGCCTATTGTCTAACTGCTGGTATAGAACCTACTTTCTCCCAACTGTGCCCCAGAAATCCTCCTCCTGGACGAGCCTACCTCCGGCCTGGACGCCTTCACGGCGCGCCATCTGGTGTCCAGCCTGGCCGACCTGGCACACAGGGGCAAGCTGGTCCTCATGTCCATCCACCAGCCCCGCTCAGACATCTTCGGCCTCCTTGACAAGATCGCCATCCTCACGGTGGGCAGAGTGGCCTTTTCCGGTCGACCTAGTCAGATGGTGCCATATTTCTCCAAGATTGGATACCCGTGCCCGAGAGAACAGAACCCGTGTGATGTGTATAGTGAGTCCGCCTCGCCTCCTGCTCTCATCTTCCTACTCTTCATCTCCCCCTAAGCACTAATCCCTCCCGCCTCACCTCCTCCCCATCCCCCTCACCCCCTCCCCCTCCAAAAAGATTATGTTTTTTAATTGAATCTGGTTAACGAAAATTTTGGTAAGAAACAGATATAGATTTTGGTCATGTTGATGCATTCAGAACATTAACAACAGTACTGTTTATTAACTGATCAACGGACCAAACTAATTCACCTCTGGCCTCTTTTAGTAGGTAAGCCTAGGCATTAAAATTTTAAAAAATAGACACATCAGTAGAATCAGTCTCAATTAACAAGTCAATCAGCCATTCAGTCAGTCCGCCAATCAGTAAAATCGTTAACTCACTGACTCACTCATTCTTTCACTCATTTACTCACTCACTCACTCACTCACACACTCATTTATTCGCTCACTTAATCTATCTATCTATCTATCTATCTATCTATCTATCTATCTATCTATCTATCTATCTATCTATCTATCTGTCTATCTATCAATTTATGTATCCATCAATCAATCCATCAATCCATCAGTCAGTCAGTCAACCAATCAATCACTCAATCAATCAATCAATCAATCACTCTCCTCCATCAGTTGACGTGACAAGCGTGGACCGGCGAACCCCGGCCCGTGAGAAAGAGACCTTCGCCGCTGCCCAAAAGATCTGCAACGCCTTCTCCAATTCGGACCTACAGGCAAACATCATCAAAGAGATCACATCGGGCCTCAACCATCATTACAAGTGCGCAGACTTTGAAGTTGTTGGGACTTCTTTTTTCTAGTTTCAATTTTTTTACGGGACGATATCCACAGTTTTGAATATTTCTAAAGCCTTGCTGTTTCCCCCCTAACTGTCAGGGTCAATTCGAGATGAGTGGATTATGTAACATCCATGTAGACATTTAGAAAGGTTAAGAAATTGATAAAGGAAAACTTCCTTAATCGGGAATCGAACTCAGGACTTTTGTTTGTGATGGCGAAGGGCCTACTCGTTACATCATAGACATCGGAGGTGTTTTTTTTTAATTTCTTTTTCTTTTTTTCGGGGGGGGGGGTA